CCCAGAGGCCCCCCAATCCATGCAGGACTACACATTGAATGACAAAATCCTAGAAATGGAAGAGATGTCTCAGAGCGGTGGTGGTGAACCTACGGCACGCCTGCCAGAGGGGGCACTCTGTGGGCACGCGTGCCGGCACCCCAGGACAGAGTTTGCCAGAGTTCATTCCTAGAAAGCCAGAGGGACATGGCACTTTTACGATAAATAAGTAGGTTTTGGGTTGCAGCTTGGGCACAAGGTTGGCCATCACTGTCTTCGAGGATGCCTCCTGCCGTGCAGGAGGACCTTCTCAAAGCTCTCTAGGCAGAGGACCATCCAGCCTCTGTAGAAAAAAATAATTCACATTCTTTCAGCTAGGGAGATGGAACAAGAGCAGGAGGAGGAAAAAAACTCCATTTCCCACAATGGCTTGCTTTCCCTCCTCCTTGCATCCATCCCTTCCATCCCTCTCTTTTGCTCCATCCCTCTCTCTCTCTTTCCTTGGGCTGTCAGTCAAAGTAACGTGGGTCCCCTTCTCTTCCTCTCTCTCCTGACTGGTTGGTTGCTATAATTGCAACCCATTGATCTAACCCAGGCAAGGTTTTCAGGCTGGCCATCCATCAGGCATTAGGGAGGGAGGGAAGGGGACCAGCAGAGGGGAAAGAAAAGCCTCCTCCCTCCCCAGTTAAGAGCAGCCAGAAGCTTCCATCAAAAGCCAAGGCTCCCCAGAGCTTGCCAGCCAAGGCTCCTTTCCAAAAAAGCAAAAAAAAGGGGAAAAGGCTGGCTTTTGATTTTGATTTAACCCCCCCCCCTTTCTCTTCCTTCCTGTACTGAAAGCAGGCTTGGAAAACACCGCCAAGAGGGGACAAAACACACACCAAATAAATCAAAGTACCTCCCAAGGAAGCAGGGCCTCTGAGCATAGGCCGAGCGGCTTGAATGCACTCTGAGCCATTTCTTGGTGGTGGTGGCTCTAGTTGGGCGCCTTGGAGTCGTTTCTGACTCAGGGCAACCCTAAGGAGAAGCCGTCGTGGGCTTTTCTGGAAAAACTGGTTCAGAGGAGCTTTGCCCTTGTCTTCCCCTGAGGCTGAGAGAGTGTGACTTGCCCGAGGGCACCCAGTGGGTTTCCATGGCCAAGCCAGGATTCAAAATCTGGTCTCCAGAGTCACAGTCCAACACTCAAACCACACCATCACACTGGCAACTATCTAGCTATCTGTCTATCTACCTAATCTACCTACCTACCTATCAAATATTTACATTATGGTCGAACTTGGGTATATGCTAGGGTTTGGTTCCAGGATCCCATATAGATACTAAAATCCATGGATGCTGGAGTCCCATTACATACAATGAGATATCATCATCATCATCATGAGCCCTTGGTATCTGCTGGGGTTTGGTTCCAGAACCCCACATAATAGACTCCAAAATCCATGAATGCTGAAGTCCCATTACATACAATAAGATATTATTATTATTATCATCATCATGAGCCCTTGGTATCTGCTGGGGCATGGTTCCAGTACCCACATAGATTCCAAAATCCATGGATGCTGAAGTCCCATTACATACAATTAATTATTATTATTATTATTACTACTACTGTGAGCCCTTGATATCTGCTGGGGTTTGGTTCCAGGACCCACCATGGATACTAAAATCCACGGATTCTCAAGTCTTATTACATACAATGGGGTAATAATAATAATAATAATAATAGTAATAATACAGTGGGCCCTTGGTATCTGCTGGGAGTTTGCTTTCAGGACCCCATGTAGATACAAAAATCCATGGATGCTCAAGTCCTATTATATACAAGGAGGTAATTATAGAAAATTACAAAAAAAAAAAAATCAAGGTTTGCTTTTGGGAATTTTTGTTGTTGCTGCTGCTGAATATTTTGAAGCCCTGGATGCAGAATCCACGGATATGGAGGGCTGACGGTACTTTCATTATTCTCCAGAAAGCCAGCGTGGCATAGCAGTTTGAGCATTGGACTATGACTCTGGAGACCAGGGTTCGATTCTCCAGACCCACTGGGTGACCTTGGGCAAGTCACACCCTCTCAGCCACAGAAAAGCTTGTGATAGATTTGCCTGAGGGTTGTCATGAGTTGGAAATGACTGGAAGGTACACAACACAGACACACACATACAGCCATCCAACTTGCATTTAAAGACCGGCAAAGAAGGAGAGTCCACTAGTTTCCAAGGCAGTCTGTTCCAGGGCCAAGCAGTTCGAGAAGTTCTTCAGATCAAGAAGTTCTTCCTAATGTTTAGGTGGAATCTCTTTTCTTGTCATTTGGATCCAGTGGTCCTTTTTTTCCTGGAGCAGCAGAAATGACAATGCAGTGTACAGGCGTTTTATGTTTCGGGCTGCGGCTTGCAATATTTTATTCCCATTGGAGAAACGGTAACTTTTAAAAACTAGCTCCAATGTAACTAACTACTTTGGGCACCCAGAACTATAATACTGTACATTATTTTGTACAGTTCTACAATTAAAGGCACAGAAAGAGGAAGGAGAGTGAGTTTCTATTTCTGGGCATGTGGGTGCTTTGCACATGCTCAGAGGTTAGTAGGATGTACAGTGGGCCCTTGGTATCCACTGGGTTTTGGTTTATGGCTTCATAAAATGGTAACCCTTATATCAAATGGCAAAATTGTGGTTTCCTTTTTTTAATTATTATTTTTTTTGTTATTGCTCAATATTTTCAAGCCATGGATGCAGAATCATGGATATGGGGGGCTGACTGTACTTTCATTAAAGTGGCAAAATCAGGGTATGCTTTTCAGATTTATATACCGTATATTTTCAAGTATTTTCAAGCCGTGGATGTTTGAATCCGTGGATTAATAAATCCGTGGATCGGGAGGGCTGACTCCATTTAGCTCCCCTTTAAGACAGTGGCAAAAATGGACCAAACAAAATTTTGTAAATGCCATGCCTCACTTTGTCAACAAATGTTTACTGGATCTTGCCTAGGTTCTACGTTTGAATCCATTTTAATGTATTTCCTCCCATACTTCTATAATTGTCTGTACCATCGTTTAAGCCAGTGCTGTGGAATCTATGACTTTCTGGATGCTGTTGGATTGCAACTCCCATCATCCCCAGCTAATGGACCCAATCCAGGCATGCTGAAGCTCCAAAATGTCTTAGTCTAGAGAGAGGGAGAGATTGAGATGCTTCTCTTTCCACATCCTCTTTTCATAAGAGCTGCCACCAGTTTTTTGGCAAAATAAATAACCTGATTAATAAAAGATTAGGATGAAATGCAATGCATTAAATATTTAGACCAAGCAGCTGCCCAGGAGAAGGGCAGGCAAGGAGGGAAGAGGTGGGCACAGCTGGCTCCTGCCATATTTGAGAAGGTTTAAACCTTATCCCACATGATGCTAGGAGAGGGTCACATTAATCTCTACCAGGAGTTTCAATGGGAAGGTCACACTGATGTTACTGAACTGATCTTCCAGTGCCACAGCTGGGAAAGTCCTATAACTCCCAGAATCCCTGGTAGTATTTCCAAGAACCTGCCTTTAGTATCACCCATGTCTGTTCTTTCGTTGTTGTTGTTGTTGTTTTCTTGGCAATATTTGGTCAGAGGAGGTTTGCCATGGCCTTCCCCTGAAGCTGAGAGAGTGTGACTTGCCCAAGGTCACCCAGTAGGTTTCATGTCCGAGCTGGGAATCGAACCCTAGTCTCCAGAGTTATAATCCAACACTCAAACCACTATGTGACACCGGCTCTCTATGATTCCACGTTGTGTCTTCCTGCATGGCTGAGGGTTGGACTATATGGCCCTTGGGATCCCTTCCAGATCTCAGATTCTATGATTCCATATTGTGTCTTCCTATATGGCTAAAGGTTGGACTACATGGCCCCCGAGGTCCTTTCCAGATGTCAGATTGTATGATTCCATGTTGTGTCTTCCTGCATGGCAGGGATTGGATTAGACGACCCTTGAGGTCCCTTCCAAGGCTAAGATATTAAGGTTCAAGCATGGTTGATTTCTAGGCAGAAGAGCCTTGGAGAAACAAATCCTCCCAAGCTGGGACTGGCTGCTTTCAGCCTCTCTCTTCCCTTACATGATCTTGAGTGGTGGTTGAATTATTGATGCCTCCTCCTTTTATTTATTCATCTCTCCTACCCACCCTTTCCTCTCTTTCTCCCCATCGGTTCTTGCATTAGTGATGTTCTGGGAGAGAAACAAGACTCTTCTTCTCCCATCTTGAGACAGGCATTCTGGATCGACCTGCAACGGAAGTGCTTTGTGGCAATAAGTGGAATCAAGAACCAGCAAGGAAGGGTAAAGACGGGGCCAGGATCATTTCCCCCCGGCAAGAAAGAGACGGAGTTACTCCACGATGGAACATGTCAGACATTCGTTCCCACCTTATTTCTCAGGCTCAGGATATTTTAATACAATTCGCACTCTCTGGAACTGGACACGGATCTGAATGCAATCCGAAATCCTTATGATTCGCATCTGCCGCTGCTTCAAATATCTGATTATAATTTGCTGATAATTGATACTAACACATATGATACGGTGATAGAGCCCATGAATGATAGAGCTCCAAGTCACCCTGTCATTGACAGGTCTTGCAAACTCAGAGTCTTGCCAACTTCCAAACTGTCATCAACAGACCTCCTCAGGTCTTGCAAAGTCGGGGTCATGGCTTCCCTGATTGTGTCCAATGAATGTTGTCTCCCTCTTTTCTTCTAGTCTACCAAGAATCATTGTCTTTTCTAGTGAGTCTTGTCTTCTCATGATATATTCAAAGTAGTATAGTCTCAGTTTACTCACCTCAGCTTCTAGGAATAGTTCAGGCTTGATTTGCTCTTGGACCCATTTATAATAATAATAATAAATAATAATAAATTTTATTTATAGCCCGCCCCTCTGCGGAGCAATCGGGGCAGGCTATAAATAAAATTTATTATTTACTTGTCTTTTTAGCAGTCCATGGAATCCATAGAACTCTTCTCCAGCATCACTTTTCTAAGGAGTCGGTTTACTTCCAATCTGCTCTCCAGCTTTGACCACCATACGTAAAAATTGGAAATACAGCGGCATGGGCCATCCTAACTTTAACTCTCTACATGTGTGTTTTTGACTTTTGCAGATTTGTGGATGTGATTATTTGTGGGTTTGGTTAATCTCTAGGAATCTCTTAAGTCCTCCAGCGCAATTCTGCCGGACATTGAGCATAGAGTTGTGCTGGATAAACTAGAGAAAAACACTTATCTAGGTGTTTGTGGTCCTCCAGCATGAGTCTGTGATCAACCTCTGGCAGATGTGGACCACAGAGTTTTGCTGGAGGACCTGGAGATTCCTAGAGAGGTGTTCACTCAAGTAAAAAGAATAGTGCATTTTATATGCAGCTTTTCCACATTCACAGGGTCCTTCACTCCTAACCCCAGAGAATGTGGAGGGACCACTGTACATCTTTATACTCCAGGGTCTTGTCTAGTTCCTTCATAGCCGCCTTTCCAACTTCTAGCCTTCTTCCAATTTCTTGATTGCAGTCTCAACTCTGCTCAATGACAGAACCAAGGTATGGAAAGTCTTGAACTACTTAAATGTCTTTATAATATACTTTAAAACATCTGCAGTCATTATTTTCGTGTTCTTAAAGTTAATCTGTAAACCTGCCTTTGCACTTTCTTCCTTGATCTTCTTCAATCATCATTCCAAACCGTTGCTGTTTTCTGCTAGTAGTATGGTGTCATCTGCATACCTTCAATTGTCCAGGTTCCTTCCTCCAATTTTCACACCTCCTTCCTAACATACATAAATATATTACTATATTATATTACTACATCATTATAATTGTATTTATTATTAAAATATTTACGCTGTTGTGTGCTTTCAAGTTGTTTCCAACTTGTGGCAACCCTAAGGCAACCCATCATGTGGTTTTCTTGGCAAGTTTCTTCAGAGGGGGTTTGCCATTGC